CCAAAAAAGGAAATACAATTACAGACATCACATAGATGTGAACAGCATTTAGCATCAAAAGAGTATAAACAATGACTGCTAACTTAACCAAGAAGTGCTAAGTAACTATACTGTTTGGAGAGGATGAGGGAGGAAGGTAGATATTTAGAGGAGAGAGGAAGAACTGGAGTTTAATCTTCATACTCCAAAACAGATCAATACGATCAAAACTCAAATATCAAATAACGGCATAATGACATTATTTAAAAATATAGAGAAACACTGTAAGAAACAGCTAAAAGATTTAAAACAGTCACCTCTCAGTAGCAACAGCTGGGTATAAAAAGAATAGGGAAAGAAAGTGCTACTTTTTACTATAAGCTCTGAAAAAAATCCTTTTTGATTTAAATATAATTTAGAAATGAGTAAAACAATAAATTAAAGATAACCTAAGTTTATGCAACAAAGTGAGTAATTCTGGGCCATATTTTTACCAAGCAATCCTGCCACTGAATACTGTAACAAGTAAAAGGAACATTTTTAAGAACTAGGTTGTTGTTCATATCCAGTAAAAGTGAGGAACAAACAGAGAGTAGATAGTCTGAGCTGAGAAGGGAGGAGAAGGAAGGAGATTAATACTTGAATTCAAAAGAATTCTGGAAGTGTCACAAATCTTACAGTATCCTGCCTTGGAATCACAAACTATTAAAGCTGAAGGAAATCTTATATATTGGCTATTTATGTTCTTCATTTTACAGTTCCTCACTCAAGGTTACACCAGCTCATTAGGGCAGAGTCAGAATCCTCTACTCTTAATTCTCACAATCTTTTTGTTGCATCCCAAATTATTGTAAAATAATTACTAAATACCAAAGAAATATTTGAATTCCTACTGATATACTCATTAGCCCTTCTTTTCTTTGAATAAACTTGAATGTAACAAAAATGTAAACACAAAGAAGTTTTCAATTACGATACACAGATTTTACTTTTTAAGAATAAAGCATATACAATCAAGAAAAATTATAACTGAACTCTCTTTTCCTACTTTTTAGATGGACTAGAACTGAGAATTTTTAACACTTTCAGGCTGCCCAAATATTTGGCCCAAACTGCAGGTTCACCCCTGCTTTATCTACCTTGAAAATGGCATTGGCAAACACGTATTTTATTGCCATTTGTATTACTGTTCAAATGATTCAGAACACTGTTACTCAGATAATTAATCATGCCCTAGGATATAACATTTTGCTGAAAATAGGTTTTGGCAAAAAGATTTACAATAAAGGATATATGGCCCGATAGACTAAAGAGACTGATGGAGGTCAACTGATTTTGGGGTTTGGAGTAATTTTTCATCATTGGAATGCTATAAACTGGTAACGCAGTGAAAGGTTTTTAACATATATCTGGATTAGTCGAAACAGCTAAAAGTGAGCCAAGGCTTAGTGCTTGGAGCAACTGCTTATTACTGCAGAGAACTTATTACCAGTTGCTACCCAGCATTCCAGATTCGAATCAAGTCCCTACTCAAATATCTGGATTAACTAATTTTTCATAGAGTGGAAAATCTGGCTGCCTTTTTTCACTATTTAATTTATACCAATTAAGTATTGCCTAAAAATTTCTCTCACCTTAACTAAAGGAAGGTATCAGGCACAAAAACAAGCAGCACCCATATCTTTATTCATCAGCCTATTCCGTGCTAAAATTTATACTGTACCATCTCTAGATTTAAGATTTGAACAAGACTGAGCACCTTAAAGGAATTCCATAAATACATCCGAGCTGATGATTTAAATGGCAGTATGAGATCAATACACTGTATTTTGCCATTACTGAGGCATTTCTAAAACAAACTTATTCCTGTTCTTTAAAGCCATTCATTTTCAAAAAGCTCTCAAGTCTTTCAACATTAAAAAAAAAAAGAATAAGAGAAAAAGTAGATTTTCCAAGACAGGAATCTAAGTAGCCTCTACTTTGTTCAGCTCATTTCACCTCTAAACCATCCAGCACACTGAATGGAACAGACACACAATGTTTGACAAAAATAGTGACTTTAATCAGCCACAAAGCACAAAGACCTTTCCTACACTTATATGTTTAATGACACAAATGCCATCTACTGTATTTTATAATTAGTAAGCAGCAATAAAGTTTATCTTGTACTAGTTAAGCATTTTAATTTTTAGTTTTAGTTGAAATAGAAAAAGTATTTTTCTATAATCAATGCTTTTTCATCTTGAAGCAATGATAATGAGAACTTACAACTTAAATCATATTCACGTTTACCAGCCTAAAAGAAGTAGTTCAAATGATATGTGTTCTGCACTTCATCAGAAAGATTAAGGGAGGGGGAAAAATAGCAGGATTATTTAATTAAAAGCATGTTCCAGAACAACCAAAAAACCGCAACTCCAAGGTTTCATAAATGTCTTCTATTCCCATTTAAAAATTCTCTAACATATAAATTAAGCCCCCTGATAAAATACAATCCCTGAAAGTTTTGTGTATAAGTAAATTCCTCATACAACATGAGTAAAGCAGGGTTTATTAATTAAAAAAACACTATATTTATTATCAAATATGAAAACAACAGTTCCAGATACATGTTTTAGGGGAAAAAATAGTTTATTTTAAGTTAAGGGTCTCTACCTAAATTTATTTTGGTATCAAGTAACTGCAATTAGTGATGGAGAAAAAAAGCATCTATAATTGTGGTAAGATGTTAATTTACAAGAACTATACAAAATTAGATTAAATATAACAACTTATCAAAGGTTCCTGAAATTAATTTTGCTTTCAGAAAAGTATCAAAAGTCTTCAGATGCAGAAATGATAGCCTTTTATTATTTTTGATTCACGGAATTACAGCACATTAGATCTTTAAGCAACACCGCCAGATGAAATCTTGTATAATTTGGAATGTAAATGAAACCTTGTTCCTTTTTTAGTGAAGGAAAATAACCTTGAACAAAGAAGTGTCCAATAGTATGGAATACCTGTTAGAATGGCTTGTCTGCTGTTAATTAAACATGGGCAATTAGCTCTACATTGTTATAAAACTGCCTTAAATCCTTTCTTTATTAAAAAAAAAAAAGTCTCAGCCATGTCATATCTCTAAGCCTGATAAATTATTATTTAGTTTTAATTAGGAAATCCACACCCATATAAGACATCTTCAAAATAGTACATATTTTTAAAGTGTATATAAGCAAGACTAAATTTCTTAAATTGTAACAAATCTAGGAACAATAATTTAATAGTCTATTGCAAAATATAGGTAGCCTTAAGAGAAACATGCTTGGTCAATCTTTCTGAAACTTTTAGGTTTGGTGCCCAAACATTTAAAAATAAAGAACAAAAAATAACATGACTCTTTGCTAATTGCTTTTAAGATACTAATTTGCAGATATACCTAAATACTCATCTAACTAAGTATCTAGGCTATCCAATTATATTTGTCATTAATTCATAAGACAGTAACATACATCTGTAATATAAAAGTAATAAAAAAAAAAACATAGGTATTTTAGGCCTCAAATGAGTTTACCTAATAAGGGTTAAAGGAGAAGTATCATATAAGACCCAAAATAAACTTCAGATACAAAATTATATGATGTGGCTTCATTCAAACATATCTCAAAATCAAACTCCAGTTAAAAAACTAGGCTGGCTTTTTTATATCCCCAGCTTTCATCAGGGCCTTAATGGCTCTTGCCCTCATCTCAAGTTCTAGCAGCTCCAGCTGCTGTGCAGAAGGCTGAACATCTTCTGGTGGAGGAACAGTCAGGGTGGCTGCTTTGGGTTCCTGTGGGCTAGATTCTGCCAGTCCCAGAATCTCATTCACACTTTTCTCAATGTCTTTCTCCAGGTCATCTATCTGACCAGCTTCACTTTGGACAGTATTTTCTGGGACCTCAGGAGCAGCAGCTTCTTCGTTGCATGGGCCTTCTATGTCGCTGTCATAAGCATCTGCATTTATACTGAGTACATCACTATCTTCCCCTTTGCCTGTAACAAACAAAAGAGGGGAAAGAACCATGTAACCTAAATGCCCTGGGTCAAAATTTCCGTACTCTTTATGATTAAAGGGCTGTTCTGACTCCGCCTCCCACCAAGAGTCCCAAACACATTCCATCATCATCATCCCACCCTCTTTTCCCCTGATTGCTCAAACTTTCAAAATAGACCTAATTTAATACAAATTTTAATACACTTTTACATTTAATACATTCCAGTTTAGTTAAACATGGAAGGATTGAAAAATTTATTCTGTAATATTAACTTCCCATAATCTATTTTCCTAATTAAAATGTCATAACACTTTATATCACAGTGAAGTTTCTATATTACAAAATGCAAACTGACATTGGAAACTCAGTGGATAGAGTACTACTTACTACTGAAGAAGTAAAATTTCATTCCAGAAGGTGTTTAAAATACTTTGCTTTATAAACCACAAAAAAGAAAAAAAAATCAGCAAGCTAGACACCACATGCACCGCTGTTTTCTCAAATCTTTTAACATCCTTTTTTAAACACTTTGTTCTAAATCAATAAAGGAGAAAGCCTATGGCCATTTTCTAAAATAAAATGTTTTTTCATGAAGAGGATTAACTTTTATTAATAAAGTTAGTATACCACAATTTTAAAAACTACATTTCTTATAAAACTTCTATAACTGATGTTGGTCTTGGTGTTGAATATTACTCAACTCTAGGCAATATTTACAACTTTGAGTACTTTAAATTCCTATGTTAAAAAAGTAATGATCCCCAAAACATTAGCTTTGATAGCTTTCATATAGTAGGAAAAACTAATGAAAACACAGACTGACAGACGGAACATTCTAATATAGAACATAACGTAAGGATACAAATAATTTTTTTTTTTTTTTGCAGTTTTTGGCCAGGTCCGGGATTGAACCCATGACCTCTGGTATATGGGGCCACTGCCCAACTCCTTTGAGCCATAAGTGCTACCCAGGATACAAATAATTTTACTCTACTAACTTTATAGTGATCTACTGACCTTGATTCATCCTCCTACATTCTTATAATTCAAAAACCATTCTCTATTCCAAAACTAAAGTAGAAAATGAAACAGTAAATTATATTTGTGTCCACATAGATCTTGTTAAGAAAAAGAATGGTTGTCATTTTAATTATTTGATGTCAAAAAATATTTTATGTATCTCCACAAAGCAACCAGTATTTCCAAGTAGCAAAAGAAAAATTACAGAAAAATAAATATAGCCTTTTGTCTTAAGAAACAATGTTTTTAAGTACAAGTAGTCCCTGGGTATGGATGAGATACATTCCTGAGAATGTCTTTAGGTCAGATTTGTTAAGTAAGAAATATGAGTGGAAAAAAAGAAAAAAGATAAAACAAACAAACAAAAAAAAGATTTACATGGCTCAGCGCCCATAGCTCAGTGGTTAGGGTGCTGGCCACGTATGCTGGGGCTGGTGGGTTTGAACTCAGCCAGGGCCTGCTAAATAACAATTGACAACTGCAACAAAAAAAATAGCCAGGCATTGTGATAGGCACCTGTAGTCCCAGCCACTTGGGAGGCTGAGGCAAGATAATCACTTAAGCCCAAGACTTTGAGATTGCTGTGAGCTGTGACACCACAGCACTCTACCCAGGCTGACATAATGGGAAAAAAAAAAAAAGAAGATTTGCATGTAACTTGGTTCAGTGATGAACAGCACATATACAATGACAATAATAACAAAAAAAGACTACAATGGCTCATGTGGTAATAATATAGTGTGATATTGTTTTAATAATACCCCTGTACTATAATAAGATATAGAAACTATTATGCTCTTTAATTCAAACAAATAGAACATAAAAACAAACTTGCATAAAAGTTTAGATAGAAGAAATTTAAAAAAAAGAATATTAAAGGGTAACACTTAACATTGCATCAATGCTAGGATAATAGAAATGTTAGGCTTATTTTGATTTTATAACCAAATTAATAATAATTTTTCCAATTCAGGAATTTATCATGCTGCTTAGTAATAACTGATGTCTTCATTGGTGCCTTCATTGATTCCTTCTACACATTCCATTATTCTCATTTTATGCTATTTTATAATTACTTTAATAGTCAAGTGACTAAAGCCTGATGCTTTCCCAAATGAACATGCATTGGCCTTTTCTCCAAACAATTATTTCTACTTTCATTTCCAATATAATCACTTTTTTCTTCACTGCCGTCTCACCTAGACTTACAATGTACTATTTTTGCTTTGGAGGCATGGTCATCAAAGGAAATACAGACTCTCAGATTCAAATAAAAAAGTCAAAACAAACAATGAAACTAGCTGCCAGCAGAAAAGAAACTTCACCAACAAAGCATTTATACAATGTGTATTTGTTTACATACATGGAAGTAGCTAGTTCCTGAATTATTAAGTTAGCTAAAACTTACCCTTATGGGGAGCCTTGGGACCCCATTCCTAAGTATGGGAATACCATAAAGTATAACCCAAGGACTTGCCATAACTCAAGGACTGTCTGGGAACGGCGCCTTTGGCTCAAAAGCGTAGGGCACCAGCCCCATACGCCAGAGGTGGCAGGTTCAAACCCATCCCCAGCCAAAAACTGCAAAAAAAAAAAAAAAAAAGGACTGTCTATATTCTAATTTAAGACAAAAACAAATTTAAGAGAAATAGCTCTAAGTTATTCATAGCATCAAAAAGTTATCAAAAAGTTAATGGTTTTTCTCTCTTTTTATTTATTTTTTAATTATTATTATTTTTTGCAGTTTTTAGCCCTGGCTGGGCTTGAACCCACCACCTCTGGCATATGGGGCCAGTGCCCTACTCCTTTGAGCCACAGGCACCACCCTCTCTTTTTATTTTTTTAAACACTGCTGTACTCTGTTGCCCAGATTAGAGGGCAGTGGCACAATCCTAATCCACTGTAACCTCAAACTCCTGGGCTCAGGAATTCTCCCTCTTCAGTCTCCCAAGTAGCTAGGACTACAGGAATGTACCATCATGCCTGGCTGATTTTTTAAAGTGAACAAACACTATATAGTCACTATACAGGCAGGTCTTGAACTCCTGGCCTCAAGCAATCCTCCCTGGTATGCCTGAGTGCTAGGATTAAAGGAATGAACCACCATGCCCTGGTTGGGTAAAAGTTACTTTTAATGCTTTAGGCATTAAATCTCTAGCCAGGGGTGTTCAACTTGTGGCCCATGGGCTGTAGGCAGATTACTTGAGAATTATTTTGCTTATTTGTGTTGTCAGACTTTGTGAAAAGTATCCATGAACCTTTTCTTTTGTTCAACAGCTTTTGTTTGCCTATTTAATGTGTAGCCCAAGACAACTCTTATTCTTCCAATGTGTGGTAAGTAAAAAAGAGGTTAGACACCACTACTAGGCTACTTAAAAGATTTTAAAACATAAATTTTTCAAAAATGTGCTTTTTTTTAAACTAGAGGCTATTGCCAGATAATGACGAGCACAAGAATATAATGACTGGGTGGGGAGAAGGGAGTCTGAAAGTCGGGATACCTGATTCCTAATCCTTAACTCTGGAATGAAGTATGTGGTTTGGGGCAAATCCCTTAATTTCTCAGTTTCTCTCCTATAAAAATGAAGGGAAGTTGTCCTAGAAAATTTCTAAAGTTCAAGGTCTAATATTACAGTAAGATAAGTCTACACAGAAGTATATAAAGTGGCAATACTTTAAGCTGGCGGTTCTCAACCTGTGGGTTGCGACCCACGGGAACTGTATTAAAGGGTTGTGGCTTTAGGAATGTTGAGAACCACTGCAGCTGTTATCTCCTCAAGATATACTTACCACTCACATTTTACTTAATATATTCATCACCTGCATAATAATTTCAAAAGAATTTCCTATTAGCAGTAGTAGAAAATGAAAGATAAATTAAAAGTGAGCAAATCATGTTCTCTAAATGTTTTTCACCAATCTTTCTGGCATGATTTTTTTGTTTTAAAGAAGTATATTTACAAGATCCACACATTATAACTGAAGTTAACTCATTATCTTAGATTCAGGGATCAGTGTCTAATGACACAACTATGCAACCTCCCTTAAAAGCTAAATCATAAAATTCAAAATAGCACACTTCTATGAAATTAATTTGCTTTAGATCTATATGCAAGTAAATTTTAAAATGATAAGCAAAACTTAGAGATATTTTCATTAATAATGTGAGAAATCTATGCTAGTAGATCCTATCAACAGATTTAATAAATCTTCTAGTTGAATGTCACTGTCATGTACCACAAGCCTCTATTTCCCATCAAAAAACTTTAGAGAGGCTCAGCACCTGTAACTCAGCTGTTAAGGTGCTGGCCACATACACCAGGGCTGGCGGGTTTGAACCTGGCCCGGGGCCTGCCAAACAACACTGACAACTACAACAACAACAAAAAATAGCCGGGCATTGTGGTAGGTCTATAATCCCAGCTACTTAGGAGGCTGAGGCAAAAGAATCACTTAAGCCCATGAATTTGAGGTTGCTGTGAGCTGTGAAGCCACAGCACTCTACCAAGGGCCACACAGTAAGACTCTGTCTCTTAAAATAAAACATTAAAAAAAAAAGAGTTTAGGGATACATATGAGTGTGTATAGATATTTTTTAAAAATGGGAATGTATATTATGTTTAATTTATTTTGGAAGGAGAGAGGAGGTCTACAGTTTTCAAACATGTTTCAAATGTCTACGAGGCACTGAACTGTATATTTTCCCTTAATTCAGATCATTTTTGGGTTTTTTTTTTTTGCAGTTTTCGGCTGGGGCTGGCATATGGGGCTGGCGCCCTACTCCTTTGAGCCACAGGCGCTGCCCAATTCAGATCATTTTTAAAGCCTATTTATATAAGTTTATTTAAGAAGCAACCATAGTTAAAGATCAACTCTGCCTTGCACTTATCATAATAAAATCTCTATCTTATAAGGTTATCAGCACAAGAGATTCAGGATCAAAATGTTTATACACACAGTTCCAATACTTCCAAGGGG